GAACGAGGGCAAAAAAAAAAAAAAGAAAAAAGAAAAAAGGCGACGCCACGGTGAATTGTCCCCAGTTGTGCCATTTTCTGCTCTTCGCTCCCTCCTCTTAAACTCCGCCTTTGATTTTTCTCAGGTCGACGACCTCCACTGTTTCTCCTCTTTGATCGGTCAGTTCATGATATAGCTCAGAGCTCAATACTTAAATCATAACTTAATAATTGAATCTGTGTTATTGAGTTGAGTGTTTAACTGATTCATTTTGAGTAAATTAATTATGGTTGTTAAGGCTCTTTGTTTGGTGTTGATTTTGTATATGTCTACAGGTGTTTGATAAAATGCTGGTGAGAGAGTGTTGATCCTGTTCTGATTTGTTTTTCTAAGTATTGTGAATAGAATAGGATTTGTGTGAGTAGAGGAATGGATTCTGCGTGTGCTTTTCATCTTCGGAGTGTGTTTCACTGTGGTGATGGTAATGGTTATGGTGTATTGAATCCACTGCATTTGAGGTCAAGAGGTAGAGGTTTGGTCTATGATGTTTGTGGTAGGAGGATTGCAATGAAAACCCGACCTGCCAAGAAAATGAGTAAAGGTAGTGCGTACAGTGGTTGTTTGAAATCTAGTGTGGTTTATGGAGGGAAATTCAATTGTCATTTATTATATAGTTTGGATTCAAGTTCACCTCTGTTTTGTAGTTTTGATAAAGGTTTGAGGTTAAGAGGGGTTAAATCATGTTGTCAAGGAAATGATTCTCTGGCATATGTTGATGGGAACAGTCAGAATGTAGAATTAGCAGGGAGCAGCAGTGATGGCAGTTCAAGAGTGGGGCCCACTGATGGCATTGAGTCAAATGGGTTAGGAGGTGGGGAAAATGATGCTGAAGTGGTGACTCCCAGTTTGGATGAATTGAGGGAATTGTTGCAAAAGGCAATGACAGAACTGGATGTGGCACGTCTCAACAGTTCCATGTTTGAGGAGAAGGCTCAGCAAATATCAGAAGCTGCAATAGTATCAAAGGATGAAGCAGCAAATGCTTGGGACAGCGTTAATAACACCCTCGATATGATTCAAGAAATTGTTAAGGAAGAGTCTGTCACTGAAGAGGCTGTTCATAAAGCAACAACGGCACTATCTTTGGCTGAGTCAAGGCTTCAGTCAGCAGTTGAGTCATTAGAGGTTAGAACTGGAGGGAGTGATTCCCCAGAAAGTTCTGGCAAAAGTGATGTAGAAGATGACGTCATGAAAGAAAATGATGCACTTTTGGCTGTGCAGGATCATATCAAGGAATGTCAGGAGAATTTGGGTAACTGTGAGGCAGAGTTAAGGCGCTTGCAAAATAAAAAGGAAGAGTTGCAGAAGGAAGTGGACAGATTGAATGAAGTTGCAGAGAAAGCACAGATGGGTGCATTGAAAGCAGAGGAAGAGGTAGCAAATATTATGCTTTTAGCCGAGCAAGCTGTTGCTTTTGAATTGGAGGCTGCACAATGTGTGAATGATGCAGAGATTGCATTACAGAGAGCTGAGAAGTCTCTCTCAAGTTCCAATGTTGATACTGCAGAAACATCTGGGGCACAGGTATTGGAGGAAGATATTGTTCTTGATGAGAATAAGAGTGGTCAAGGAAGTACTGCCAATGTTATTGTTGAAAGAGAAAGGGATACACAGATTAATGGTGATGATATAGTTACTGAGCCTTCATCAGAAACTTTTTCTGATAAAGCCAGCCAGAGCGCTGAAGTGCTCAGCCAATCTGATGATTTGAGTGATCATGAGAACGGAAAGCTAGGTCTAGACTCTTCTAAAGAAGATGAAGCAGAAGCAGACAAGCCAAAGAATGCTGTTCTGCCAAAAAAGCAGGAAACTCAAAAGGATGTCTCTAAGGAGACCTCAGCTCCTAATTCCCCAAAGGCATCTTTAAGTAAATCATCTCGTTTCTTTTCTGCATCTTTCTTTTCTTTTACTTACGATGGGACAGAGTTCACTCCAGCATCAGTTTTTGAGAGTCTCATGGAGACTGCAAGGAAACAATTTCCTAAGCTTGTTCTCGGATTATTGCTCTTGGGAGCTGGGTATATTTCTTTTGGTACTTTGTTTCATTAATTATGGATTTTTGTTTGTCTTATGTTTTCACTGAATATTATTGATTTTTTGGGTTGATGACTCAACCAATATGGTAACTATTCTTAATTTTATTTGTCAAGTTTATGTTTCTTATTTAGGTTTACATTAGTTTGTATGCCTGAAAAATATAACCTTGCACTTTCTAAACGCATGTGCCATTCACAGGGCTGCCTTCTATGCCAATCGAGCAGAGAGGAATGCTCAGCTCCTTCGACAGCCCGATGTCATAACTACGAGCATTGAAGAAGTTTCCTCACATGCAAAGCCTTTGATCCAAAAAATACAGAATCTTCCTGAAAGAATTAGAAAACTACTTACCATGCTTCCTCAGCAAGAGGTATGCAATCTTATGGCATTCTTTAATCCTGCATGGATCAGGAACACAAAAGTGGAAATAGCTTATCAACTCATCTTGGCATTTTGATTTTTCAGATGAATGAGGAAGAAGCTTCCCTCTTTGACGTTTTGTGGTTACTGCTTGCAAGTGTTATATTTGTCCCTATATTTCAGAAAATTCCTGGAGGTAGCTATATTCTTGTATTATTTAATTCAAATTTGCGTGCATTTTGCTCTGGAGTTCGTGGGTTCTAGCATCACCTAATCATTCCTTTCATATTTGAAATTTTGCTAAGATTTTGGCTTTTTTTTTTTTCATTTCTCCCTGTCATTTATCATTCTCTCTCCAACATAGGTTGGAGGAATAACACTAAATTTTGTTTGGGTGCTTAATGCTTTCCTGCTCCTTACCATCAATTGGCCATATGTCAGCGAATCTCTCCCCACCTCCCTTTTTTCCTCTTTAGATTTATATTTAAATTTATGTATTATATAACTGATGGCCATTTTTTGTCTGCTGCAACATCTAGGCAGTCCAGTTCTTGGATACTTGGCTGCTGGCATCCTAATTGGGCCTTATGGTCTTTCTATAATCCGTCATGTGCATGGTACAAAGGCAATTGCTGAATTCGGAGTAGTTTTCTTGCTCTTTAACATTGGCCTTGAGGTGGAATATGTTTTTTTAGATATGATTACATTTTAGATGCATAATGTGAGAAGAATTGCAAACTGAAGCTTCATTGGGCTTTTTGTAGCTCTCTGTTGAAAGGCTGAGTTCCATGAAGAAATACGTTTTTGGATTGGGTTCTGCCCAGGTGATTAAAAAACTTAATTTCTGTTTTTATCCCCTTTTTTCATAGTTCACCGAACAATTATTAAATGTGCTTGATGCAGGTCTTGGTGACTGCAGCTGTGGTTGGCTTAGTTGCTCACTTTGTTGCTGGGCTGCCTGGTCATGCTGCAATAGTCATTGGGAATGGACTGGCGCTATCTTCCACTGCTGTTGTCCTGCAGGTATTCAATAAGCAGATTTTTCCTTGGATTTTGTGAAGTTGTCACATCTTTATGTGAGAATACCTCCACTTTATGAGGGAAGAGCAATATACCAAGCATAATTATTTTGAAAGTGAGACAAGCTTCCTGAGCAAAAGATGTGATTTTTCCCTTTAAATGGCTCAAGATCTTTTACCTCAATCTGGAAATAAAAGAGAGATTTTATACCCTAGTATCTTATTGGTATTGTGGTATTCTCATATTTTCCTCTTGAGTATCTTAAATTTTTGAGAAACTATAAGACAGTTTAGATTCTTGCTTGAGGGTTTGATCTATTATGATTTTGGCTGGCTTATTGTATCCTTGCAGACCTACCAACCAAGACTAAAGAGATTTATGAGTTTGAATCAATTAGATGGGTGGGTGATTTAAATTTTTGTGGGCTTTCTTGCAGGTCTTACAGGAGCGAGGTGAAAGCACTTCACGCCATGGACGTGCAACTTTTTCAGTGTTACTTTTTCAGGTTATCCTATAACTTAAAAGAAATAGATTGGTTCCTGCAAACAGTTATCATGAAATGAATGTATAAGCTCAGGGATAATGAATGGCCAAAAAAAAATAGCTTGGTAATAATGGTTCTTTAGGTTGTTAGTGTCTCTGGCTTAACATCTTGATAACTGACATATTATCTCTGCTTCTTTTGAATTTTTATTTTATTTTTTATTTTTTATTTTTTGGGTTTATTAAGGCTTTTGTTGTAGCACACCTTTTGCTCTAATTTTTTATCATCCTTTGCAGGACTTGGCTGTTGTAGTATTGCTTATATTGATTCCTCTTGTCTCACCGAATTCATCCAAAGGAGGGGTAAGGTTTTCAGAAACGATATATTAAATTCAGTTAAAAGTGGATCCATATGTTACAATTCTCTGCTATGGAGACAGATCCTGTTCTTAGTATATCTTATGGGATACATTTGATATTTGATTTTTCCCCTCTGACTTAAATTTGGTCTGCTCCCATCAATTAATGTTCTGACCCAGTCTTTCTACACTTGATGTTGTTGGTTCAATTCACAAAACCCTTCTTTTCCATTGCCAGTTTCTGCTCCATGGGTTGTCTCTGCAACTTTCATATTATATAGCTCCTATTGTTGATAGTGATTTTAATTTTTACTTATGTTAGCATGTTGCTTATTGTACTTGTTTATCAGATTGGTTTTGGAGCCATTGCCGAAGCTCTAGGACTTGCAGCTATTAAGGCAGCCGTTGCCATTACAGCAATTATTGCTGGTGGACGCCTGGTAAATTTTACAATTTTCGCTTTTATAAAAATGACATTAAAGTGTAAAAAGTATATTGTACTCCTAGTGCAGTTTATATCCTAATTTTTTAATGAATCCAACATTATGATTTCCTATGAAAATTTTTAGAAGGATCTGTTGGAATGCACTAAGGCTGGCAGTCTATATTGCCACCTGAAAAGCTGTTTATTGGATGATTCTGAATCACTATAAGGAATCTCTCAATGGCATTGGACAGGCTTAAGATACTATGATGATGAGTCTGAGACTATCCACAAGAGAGAAACTCTTGCACAGTTTCTTCTGCATTCTTGTTAAAAATGCCCTTTACCATTCCCTGAATTTTGAAAAATGTGTAGGACTTTAGAATGTAATGTTTACTTATTATATTTCTTCTTGTGCTTTGGCAGTTGCTTCGACCAATATATAAGCAAATTGCAGAAAATCAAAATGCCGAGATTTTCTCTGCCAATACACTTCTTGTTATTCTTGGGACCAGTCTCCTTACGGCCAGGGTATGATAATGCCCTTCATGATTGTTCTTGAAGTTTTTTATTGATGATAATTAATATCTATACCATTCCCTGAATTTTGAAAATTGTGTAGGACTTTAGAATGTAATGTTTACTTATTATATTTCTTCTTGTGCTTTTGCAGTTGCTTCGACCAA